ATCTCTTTAGCGGCTGGCGGGTGCGTGTAATGAGTAGGGGGCGGGAAGAGGCCTGTGCAGCTTTGTTTGTTCTGCTCGTGCCCATGTGTATTTCGATGGATGTGGTGCGTGCGAGTGACTGTCTGCCTGCCTGTCTGTCTGTCTGGATGGATGGATGTGTGTATGAGTGACGAGGAGAGACCTGTCTCAGAAAGAGGAAACAGCTTCAGTGCAAGGGATGCGTGTGTGTGACACGACCTGACGGACTTGATGCATCCTCGCTGGCAGCCCAAATGTCAACACACACAGCCTCTCACAAAATGTACACTCACTCCACGCGTCACTCCACACGTCCTCAGACAGATGGCATGGTCTCACCTCATAGAGACGGGACGCTCACACGCACATACTCCTCGCCCGCATGGTGGCTATCATACATCCGCCCCAGCTCATCGGCCGTGTAGGCGGTCCTGGCACGCATCACGGGATTGGCAATCGCCTCCTCCCTCCCCTGCCGCTCAGCCAATCGCCGAATGGCCTTCTGCCACGCGTGGCCCAGCACCTCTATCTTACGGAGGCGACATAGCTTGACGTAGAGCATCTCGGCCTCGTCTTTGCCCCACCCCTGGCCGGCGTAGGTGTCGATGAACTTGCTCTTGGCCGGGAGGATCCCTCTGCGCCTCTGCATGACCCGCAGTATGTCGTCGGCCGACATCTGCCGCACCGCCTCGCTCGTCGCATCCACCTCAGTGTCCATGGCCGATATCTCCCCAAGCAGCTCATCTCTCTTGTCGTCGAGAAACCTCTTCCCTGACGCATGGCATGGACGGTCGGATGGATAACAGACAGACCCACAGGGGTGCCGGTCGGTGTTGGTGCGTGTGAGTGGTGGGGTGTACGTTTGTGTGCGTCTTCGAGAGAGGGGACGCCTGATGGCGTGGTCAAGAGGGGCCGCATCTCATCCTCGCGCGACAGAGGCTTGCCGAACCGAAGGTTGCTGCCATGGTATCGCACACCCACACAGCAATTCATGACGACTAAGCCTCCCTCATCCACCCCCAGCCACCCGTCCGGACATCTGCCTTTCCCTTGTGCTTACTGTCTGAGGGCATATCTGGCGACCTGTGTGCAGTACTTGATGAAGTGCCACCGTGCGTAGTACTTGGTCTCAATGCGCATCCGCACCCGGTACCACGTGGGCTTCTCGTAGTTCTGGCTCAGCAGCATGAACTTGTGCACGTTGTTGACCTTGCCGTCGCGGAAGATCTCCCTGTACGCCGCCATCACGGGCTTGCGCGGCGTCACGTGCCGAACAAACACGGCCCGCGACTGACGCGGCATCCGACAGGATAATGACAGCTGCATCTTCTTCAGCTGTCAGGAGATCCCATTCGCAGTCGATGAAACGGCACTCCTCTTTGTGGAGTGCGGCCAAACTCAGATTCGACTCTTCAACAGCACCACTTGAGGGAAAGGATGGTTTCAAGCTCGCAAGTGTTGGGCAAAAAAAAAAGGGAAAGCGGCGGGGTGTACTGCAGCGCTGTGGCTGTGGGATGCAGTTGGTATGACGATCTATACGTGTGTGGTGTCGGCGTGAGAGGGGCATCGTCATGGGAAAGCGCAAGAGCCGTAAGATAGCGCAGGCCAAGGCCAAGCCCAAGCTGGACACACAGTTCGACTGCCCATTCTGCAACCACCACAAGGTCATCGAAGTCAGAATGTGAGCGACAGATGACGTGACGCACACACAGACAGACAGAAGACACAGAGGGAAGGAAGGCGGACAGGGAGGGAGGGAAGGCTCATGTGACATCAGGCACCGCTCTGTGTCTGTGTGCATCTGTCTGTCTTTCTGGCTGGCTGTTTGTCTGCCTCTGTGTGTGTGTGTGTCTGCGTGTGTGTGTAGAGATCGCAAGAAGGAGCTCGGCACGCTTCACTGCCGCATATGCACCGCCCACTTCGAAATGCGCATCAACCGTAACCCTCCGACACAACACACAACACCACACGTCCACAAACACTCCTCCCAGCATTCCCCTGTTCGTTTGTCTGTGTGTGTGTGTGGCTATCTATCAATCTCTCAGCTCTTCACGAGGGCGTGGACGTGTTCAGCGAGTGGATAGACCGCTGCCACGAGTCCAACCAGCCCACACGCGAGGACGACCGTGACCGTCCGCAGCAGAGGGACAGGGACAGGGACAGAGATCGGGACAGGGACAGGGATAGGGCGAGGGCTGCTGATGCATACGACAATGAGAATGAGAATGATGAGTACGAGGAGGACGAGCCTGAGCGTCCGCGCGACAAGCCCCGCAATCGGCTGCGGCGGCCGGAGAACCATGACGATGAGGATGAGCACGAGCAGGACGCTGGACACGGCCTGGGGCTCGATGACGATGATGAATGACTGGCTGAGTGACTGACATGACAGGGGAGGGAGAGAGGGAGGGGGCAACACACATATCTGTGTAGCTGCCTCCCTGGTCTATGCGGGCGTGGTGTTTGTAAGGAGCCAGGATACATGAGTGCCTCTTCGATTGTGAGCGAGGCGGGCTGTCTGAGGTGAGGCATGTGCTGAGCGTCTGGGTCGGTTTCTGCGTGTGTCAAACAGGGTGACATGTTCAGCGCTCGTGTGCAGCGCTTGAGTACTATTTGTCAATATTAATTGATGTGTACGTGTGTGATATCCTGGGCCCCGATGCTGAATCCTCCTTCGCATTGCGACGAGTCCCCTTTGCGTTGACTGCGCGCTAGACCCGTGCAGATCTATCTCCCCTTTTGGCGAGGCGAATGAACGTTTTTCCGGCTTTCCCGCCTTCGCTCCTGCTGCCCACCACCCCGCTATGGACCATCGTCTCATTGCCCCTTTGCTGCCTCGCCCTCCTCTTCTATCACACATGGGGAGTTTTGCGCCGCTCGAGGCATGCAGAGGACGACGAGTGGGGCTTTGACGTCTACCCTGACACTTCCGATGCATGCCAGCCGCCGCAGCAGCGGAAGAGCAGGCGCGTTGTGGTTGTGGGTGGCGGCATCACGGGGCTGAGTGCGGCGTGGGATCTGGCGGAGAAGGGCGTCCATGAGGTGGTGGTGGTGGAGAGGGAGGGGCATCTGGGCGGCCACGCCAAGACGCTGCATGTGGAGGGGTACCCGCCCATCGACATGGGCTTCCAGATCTGCAACCCACGGCACTACCCACGCCTCTACCGATGGATGCAGAAACTCTCTCTCGGTCAGTCAGTCAGTCAGTCAGCTAAGCCAGCAGGGAGCAGACACGCCATGCCATCTCTGCCATGTGTGTGTGTGTGTGTGTGTGTGTGTTGTGATGGTCATCGACGAATGCAGGTGCGTTCAGCCCCAGCATTTGGCCGGATGAGCACCCGAGGCAGCATGGTGACATAGCGCTGCGGCCCACCAACAATTCGTTCACATGTGCGTCGTGTGACGAGCCGACGGGTTGGTCGTCTGACAATCCGCCGGTGTGGCGGCTGCGGTTCTGGCGCATGTTCTGGGACATACTCAAATACAACAGACGGTGGGGCGATCCATGGGAGATGGACGGACGGGGGCCCCCTGTGTGTCTGTGTGTGTCGTGCAGGGCTGACAAGCTGCTGCGTGATGCTGAGGCGGAGGACTGTTCGGTCAGCGAGTGGCTCAAGGCACAAGATTTTGGAGAGGCCTTTATCAAGGTGCACACCCACACACACACGGCAAATCACCCACAGCCATGCCATAGGTGTTATCGCGTGCTGTCGTTCACCCACCGTTGTAGGATTACTGGCTGCCGATGGCTGCCGCCCTGTGGTCGTGCACAGAGGGCGACGTGGGCAAGATCAGCGTGAGGCGGCTGCTGCGGTTCTTCAAGCAGCACGACCACAACAAGGTCTTCTGCAGGCAGACGTGGTACACCATCAAGGGCGGATCGTCCAACTACATACACGTGAGCGGTCGACCACATATATGGGACACAAGCCATCCATCCATCGCTCATCTCATTTATGTGTCTGTCAGGCCTTCAAGCGGCGGTTTGCCGACATATGTCCGCGAGGGCAGCTGGTGACCAACGCTGACGTGGAGAGGGTTCAGAGGGCAGCTGACGGCACTTGGGAGGTAGGCATGCATATGCACGCATAGCGTGGATCAATGGATTAAAGGCCGTCAAGTGGAAGCGTTGTGCGTTGTGTGTGCTGTGTGCTGCATCCTAGGTCTACTATTGCGATAGTGGCGGGAGCGAAGAGAAGGTGCGATGGATGGACAGACACACGTGGACGAACGGATGTGTGGGTGGTTGGGGCTGTAGGTGGCGTGTGATGCAGTGGTGTTCGCCACGCACGCGCCGACGACACTGAAGCTGCTGGGAGATGCCGCCACTGACGAGCAGCGACGAGTGCTGTCACAATTCCGATACTATGAGTGCAAAGTGTACATCCACACAGACCCGTAAGCACACACACACACACACACAGAGAGAGAAAGAAGAGAGAGAGAGTGCAAAGTGTACATCCACACAGACCCGTAAGCACACACACACACACAGAGAGAGAGAGAAAGACAAGAAGGTCACACACACACGCCACACTGTGTCCCTTCCTGGCTATCATTCATCAGGTCTTACATGGCGTTGGATCGGCGCAACTGGGGCAGCTGGAACGCCGTGCACAACAGCAGAGGGCAGCAGTGGTGCACCTACTGGCTCAACTCACTCCAGTTCCCCCACTTCGCCAAGGACGTCTTCGCCACGGTCGTCCCCTCACACATGACCCCTGACGTCTTCCCGCCACCGCCCCGAGACACGTGGTTGTGCGAGCCGCAGAGCTGGGAGCACCCGTGCATCGACGTCGAGTCAGAGAAAGGCAGACAGACGTGAGTGAGAAGGGGGCGGGCGACACGCGCTCCTCCATTTCTCCAGGAGAGAGACTGCGATGGTGTGTTGGTGTGCAGGCTGTTTTCCCTGGATGTGCAGCGGCCCGATCGAGGCATCGTCTTTGCCGGTATGTATGCGTCTCTGATATCGATGTGGTCAATCAGACGCTCCTTCGTCCACCTGTCTGTCTGTCTGTCTGTGTGTGGGTGTTGTGTTTCTGCAGGTGCGTACGGCGGTTCTGGGTTCCACGAGGACGGCTTTCGTGAGGGCCGCAAGGTGGCGAGACTCCTCATGCAGCAGTGGGCAAGGGAGAGCTGCACAGCCGAAGGTCACCGTCATGAAGGTGCTCAGATCTGCTGGCCGGCACCTGTGGCAATGGAGGTATGTCCACATGGGGAAGGAAGAATGGCCACAAAGTACGGCGCACTGATGTGTGTGATATGTCTATGTTATCGATCAGAGGTTCCCTGGTGGGTCGCCCGTTGTCCGCGAGGAGTTTCTGTGGGAGCGGCTCGCGAGAACCATACTCACACAGGCACTGCAGAAACTAGGCAAGCGACGATTCATCCATCCATCCATCCATCCATCTCATCCTTTTCCTGGCCCTCTGTGTGCAGCTGACCACGTCGGCCGGCCCATCCGTCTCCACTGCGCCTACCCCCCATGGCGCACCTACCACATGCAGCCTACGGCAATGCCGAAGTCGTCATCCCGCCACCCCACAGCCCCCACAGAGGCAGAGACGCCCCCCACCTCTCCCGGCACACCCAGAAAGGCACATGGCCGCGATGAGAATGACAGTGCACAGCAGCAGCAGCAGCAGCAGGGGCGGCCAATGGTACTGACAGTGCAGAGCCCGGCGGCCTTCTGGCGGATGGTCATCGGGTCAGACATCGGCCTGGGAGTCGCACTGCAAAAGGCAGAAATTGTGTAAGGGAGGGAGGGAGGGAGACAAGACACAGAGAGGCGGTATATGTATGTATGTATGTATGTGTGTGTGTGATGGGTGGCAGGTATGATGCCGGTTTCCGCGACGTGTTGCGTGCGGTGGCTTTGTCGAGTGCGGAGAGCATCGTGCAGGGTGCTGACCTGTCCGGGCTGCGGATGCCGCTGGTGCGGCCGCTGTACTTCGTCGCACACAAGCTGTGGGAATGGACCCGCGCAAATACCATCGACATGGCCAAGCTCAATATCGCCGCTCACTACGACCTCGGTCGGCCAATGGGCATGGGAGAGAAGGGGTGTGGGTGGCATTTGGTGTGTCGGGTGTGTGTGTGTGTGCAGGTGACGCTTTGTATGAGCGGATGTTGGATGTGCACATGCAGTACTCGTGTGCCGTGTGGCAGCCTGGTGAGGGAGTGGGTGCAGGTGGGTCGGTCGGCCAGCCACACTCACAATTCGGCACACATGTATCTGTGTGTGTATCAGGCGACACACTGGCCGGTGCGCAGCTTCGGAAGATGGACAAGATCGCGCAAAGCCTGGAGCTGAAAGAGGTGAGACATCCCACACACACACAAGCAGTCGCCACATGCCCACACATGCGTGTGTTGTGTTGTGTTGTGTGGTGTGTGGATATGTGTCAGGGCGAGCGCGTGCTAGAGATTGGCTGTGGGTGGGGCGGCCTCTCCAGATATCTCGCTCAGAAATACAAAGTGAGGGACACAACCGAGCCCTCCATTGCCTCATAGCGGCACGTGCACTTCCCTGTCTGTGTGTGTGTCCGTAGATGCGTGTGGAGGGCCTGACCATTTCCAACGATCAGCTGAGGGTGGCGCAAGCAAAGGCACACGACGTGCCTGGTGTGTCTTACCACCTGTGTGACTACCGGGACTTCTGCAACGACGAAAGGAATCGGGAGAGATTCGACGCTGTGGTCAGAAAGAGACACAGACACACAGAGAGAGAGAGAGAGAGAGACCTGTTGTGTGTGGACGCATGTGTGCAGGTGAGCATAGAGATGATCGAGGCTGTGGGCTATGAGTACCTGGGCGAGTACTTCAACTGCATCCAAAACGCCCTCAAACCCAAGGGCAGGTGCCTCGTTCAGGTGAGTCGGTGGGTGGGATTTCCTGACGCACCACTCACGGACGAATGTTGTGCCGTCTGTGTGTGTGTGTGGCTTCAGGGCATATTGATGCCCGACTACCGGTTCGACAGCTACGTCAACACATCCAACTTCATCAACGTCTTCATATTCCCCGGTAGCCATGCCATGGAGGGGGGCAACAAGGGAGAGAGAGAGAGAGAGGGGCTTGGCCATCTCCCCCTGTGTGTGTGCACGTGTGTGTGTATACGTTCAGGGGGCATCCTGCCATCGCAGATGGCCATCCTCCAGGCGGTATGCACCCAGGCCACCCACCCACACATACATCCATCCATCCAGGCAGTGTGGCGCTGCTGTGTGTCCAGGTCAAGAAGAAGGCTCCCACACTGGTGCTCGTCGGGTGAGCAAGCACCACGGGCCAGGCAGACATTCGCACCCCCAGACAGACACGCCTGTGTGTGTGTGTGCAGTGCTGACGAGATAGGTCAGAGCAGCTACGGCAACACACTCAGGGCGTGGCGGAACAACTTCGAGGCTAAGGTACACACACACACACACCAGCACACACCAGCGCACCGATGGACGTCTTTCTTCCTTTGCTGTGCTGCTTTGTGCTGCTGCAGTGGCATGAGATATGTCGCGAAGCCCCAGGTTTTGACGGCAGCTTCCGCCGCGTTTGGAACTTCTACCTGGACTATTGTGCCGCCGGTAAGACTCACACACACACACACAGTTGTCCCCTGATGACCCACCCAATGTGCCGTGTGTGTGTCCGGTCGGTCCACCCGCAGGTTTTGACACATCTTTGATTCTCAACTGTCACCTCATGTTTGAGAAGCGGCTCGGCCCGCAGCACGGCCAGGCCACCTGACTGTTTTACGTTGATTGCAGTCAGTCGATGCGCGTGCAGTGCATGGACATGACATTGGATGGAATAGATAGACGCTTTTGGAGCTCTATAAAGGCTGTTTGAGTGAGTGAATCCACGTCGCTCACGTAAATCGTGTTAATCAATAAATTACACAGCATCAGACAGACGCATCACCCCAGAGAAGGCTCGGTCTTCAATCGCTTTCTATGGACAAAGCGCTGCACGTCCTCTCTCTCTCTCTCTCTCTCTCTCGCAAGAGAGCAGGGCCGATACGTTCCCTCAAACAAGGCAGGCAGGCGATTCAATCTCTCCGACCAGTCCGCCTGTGCGTGACGGCACCCGATGCAGATGCCGCTTGAGGGATCTCGTCAGTGGCACCTTGCTGACCTGACACCACATCAGCAGACAGGCAGCAAAGCCACCTTAGGTTCTTTCTCTCCTCGGCGCTGTGCTGGTCGTGCGGCCTCACTGCCGAGAGCAGTCTCTGGCGGCTCATCCTCAGCCTCGTCTTCCGCGTCTTCCACGTCTTCCACTGCACACGTGACACACATCACACCACACACACAATATCGACAGACACTGACTGCATCTTATTCAGCAGCCACGATGGATGCATGGGCTGACCAATCCAATTCCGATATTCACGGTCTGACAGTCGCTGGGACGCTGCAGCAGACCAGACAACAAACAGGGCACAGACAGACAGACAGACACCCAGTCTGTCGAGGCGTGTGGTCGATTGTGTTGCTACAGCCAGCCCGTGCACATACTTACGCTTGCGCAGTCTGACAACAATGGGGTCATCGTGGAATTGGCCGCGGTCCCGATATTCCTCCATTCCGCCAGGGAGCTGAATCTCGAGGTCATCTACCCCCAGATCGTCCACCCTCACCCAGCACATCTTGAGGCTCATGAGCACCTTCATCTGCAGGTCACGGAGGTCGATCGGCGGACCGTGCTCTTCGACGACTGGCGGCTGCATGAGCATCTCGACGTCGTGCTTGGGGTCGTCGGGGAAGAGACCGTGCAGCTCGTAGAGTTTCAAATGGCTTTGCGGCTCACACACACGAGTGTGGGTCGGACTGTAACTGTTGCCCATTTTCCGAAGCCGCTGCGGCACCGAAGTTGTCGAAGGTAGCAGACCCTGAGAGTCGTGAATGAGGGATGCCACGGCGCGTTACCTCTGTTGGTTTTTTGTTTCTTTCAACGGCATTCGGGCCGTTCGCTGTACGAAAGACACACAGTGTGCACACGAGTACAACTGTCGTCGCGCGGTCTCTCAGTCAGTCGACATGCATATGCGCACTACTTAACCAAAGAGAGAATGTGTACAATTCAGTCAGCACCATGCGACGTCATCTCACACGCAGAGACACTGACAGACAGCCGTATGTATGTCTGTGTGTATGTGTGTACGTATCAGGCAACCTAGGTGCGCCACCACCCTTGGAGCACAAGCAAGCAGCACAGTAAGTGTCTTAATTTGAGCTATCGACAGACATGAGCAAGGAGACCCATTCACTCATTCGTTCGTGAATGCAATGCACCACATGATATGAACAAACAGCCCAATCGAGCGCAAAAATCCAGCGGAGCACATGCAGGGAGGACTGGCAGCATCCCACACACAAACACACAAAAATCCCCCCCCCCCCGAACAGTACAAAACGGCCATATGCGTGTCACTCACTCACTTATGGGATCGTCCCATTCCCCTCACAGCACGACGAACACGCATGCAGTGGGCCACCCCACAGCAGCTTCGCCATCCACGCAACCAGCCCTCCCTCTCCCTCTCTTTCTCCCTGCCTCTGTCCCTCTCTGTCTCTGTCTCTGTCAGTGTCTGAGGTTCCTTCAGGCATGACAACAATCGACACACCGATATCTATGTCGATGGCCACGCCCACCCCCGCTCCCCCAGACCACTCATCGTCATCGCATGGGCAGCATCGCGAGCAGATCTCCTCCTCAATCTGTTGCCTCATCGCTCTCACCTTGGCCACAGGCAGGCAGGCAGGCAGGTACACACGCACAGACAACACACGGAGAAAGGAAAGAAGGCACTCGATGGATGCATAAACCCCTGTCTGCCAGCCTGCCTGTCTGCCTGTCTGCCTGCCTGCATCTTTCCCTCACCGATGAGGCATTGGATGTGCTTCGTTTGACCTCCTCGCTCTCTCCTACACCCTCACCGTGGCCATCATCATGCTGCTGGTCGTCCACATCCGTCTCGTCTCTATCGTTTCCCTCTCCATCCATCGTGTCGATGGACAGCTGCGAGGCGTCGGGGTGGATGTGGGTCGACCCTTCGTCGTGGCGAGGGGTGTAGGGCTCACTGACGCCCATGGCCCTGAGGGCGCGGATGTGTGTGTGCAGGTAGGCGTGCTCAATCAGTATCCAGATGAACACACTCGCCGCTGACGTGATGACATGCTGAACACACAGCCAACAGATACATACGGAAAGTGGGCGCCTGCGTGTGTGTGTGGTGTGTGTTGCCGTCCGTTCAGTCGGAGTACTTACTGTGCTGTGTTGTCCGCCCAGGACGGCAAGCATGAATGCCGACAGGATGACCAGCAGCAGGGTGTACAGGCAGCTGTGTGCCGCCCTCCTCTTGAGCCGCAGCAGCCTCACACGGACATCGCCCACACGGCCAATCACCACCACATCATACAACACCTGACACACACACACACACACACACACTCTTGCAGTGAGTGAACCCATCAGACACATACACAGATGATACATCGTACTGATGTGGCAGTGAGTGACGACAGGCACAGCAGCACAAACGTGACTGTGCGGTCAGTGCTGCCATTCTCGGATGCACCAAAGCTCAATGGATAGAGCACCAGCGCCAGCCCAGATGCATAGCTCCCGAGGGACCATGTGGCTGCGAACACAGCGAGGCTGACTTCGGCTCCTGACGAGCACTTGGGGCTGAAATGAGTGAACATGCAGGGGTTGACGAAATGGGTCCGCGAAGTGAGAGATCAAGGGATGATGTGGAAGTTGCCCGCTCTCATGACGGCCACACGGGCACTTTAGCAGGGGCATTGCGGCAAGTTCTGTCGCCATGTTGTGTCGACCAAGAGAGCGGTTTCACTAAACCCCACACCCTAAAACCCTGGTTGAGGTAGCCCATTGCCCAGCTTCAGATCTCCCAGGATGATACGCCGCCGAAGCATGCTGTTCTCAGCTCGTCTGTCCATTCGGCAGATCGATTCTGTCAGTGAATGCCGCGATGCCGTCGGTGTGCTGGAGAGGCATTCAGCAGTGGCGCTGCACTTCGAGGGTGCGCCACTGGGTCGCTTCGGGCGGCTGCTGTCCGTCCAGGCGGCCCTGCCGTCCACTGTGTTTGTGTTCGACGCCAGCAAGGGAGAGATCGCAAGATGCCTCTGCAGAGTTCTCAGCAACAGAGAGATCCTCAAGGTGAGCGAAGGTCACACGGGGGAGAGAGGCCGGATGGCTTGATGAATCGTATGGATATGCGTATGTCGATTGACTGATTGATTTGACGCAGGTGGTGCATGACAGCCGGGATGCAGCGTCGCATGTGCTGCATCACTATGGGGCGACGATGCAGAGCGTATACGACACTCAGGTCAGTCAGTCGGCTGGGGTCAGACAGGCGGCAGGATGGAGGGGATGGATGGATGGATGGATGGATGAGTGCAGTTGGCTTATGCCCTTCTCTTGGAGAGGCGGAATCTGATACCCTACCTCGTGAGCGAACACACACATAGAGTGTGTGGGTGACTCCCTCACAGAGTGTGTGGGTGACTCCCTCACCGCCACCTGTGTGTGTGTTTGTGTGTCTGTGCTGTCAGGCCCCTTTGTCTGAGCTGGTCAAGCTGTACCTGCCTGCAGTCTTCATCAAACACAGGTTGGTAGGTAGGCAGAGATTGAGAGATGAGAGCAACGTAGACACTGTTGTGCCGCGCGTGTTACTGCATGCAGAATTGACCGGCTCTTGTCTTTTGCCAGCCCGTCACCCATTGCCCCACCCCCACCCAGTGCGGACACACATCACTTCTCCCTCGACGACTCCCCTGCACCCACACCAACCAGCACCAGCACCACCACCATCAGCAGCAGCAGCAATGAGTCCCACCCCGCCCATATCCCTGGCATGAGTTGCCACATGGCGCAGCCCCTGTTGCTGGCTCAGGCGGCCCATCGTGTGATCCACCTGCAGGCAGTAATGCGGGCACTGGCCATCGATATCGGTGAGGCAGGCAGGCAGGAAGGCAGGCAGAGAGAGGGTGTCGAGCGAATGGATGAGTGTGCGTGTTGTTGTCTTTCAGGTGACCCGACAGGCGATGCAGTGGTCCATCGAACTGCACAGTGAGTGGGTGGGCACGGACTGCCTGCCTGCCTGCATACCTCTGTGTGTAAGTTTGTTTGTTTGTTTGTTGGTGTCTGTCTGATTCCCCCCTCTATTGACTTATATATACAGGGCGTGTGCGTCATATCTCGGTCTGAATGGCGATCTCCGCAGTGCCGACCCGCGGCAGCTCCAGTACGGCAAACACATCGACGCGATGATGGTATGTATGTATGGCCACACTTAACGTACACACAGCTACAGAAGCGCCAGGCAGCTGAGTGAGGGAGGGACCTATCTATGTATCTATCCCTTCTCTCTCAGGTCAGCCGACACTCTGGCGCGGCGTTCTTCCGTCTCAACGCACCCATGCGGTAAGGATCGAAACATGCGATGCGCGCACATCGAATGCATGCATACACATCGCCCGTGTCTGGCCGTGTGTGGGCATCACGTCACATTCAGTGGTGTGGTGACCTCTGACGATAGTCTTCGCCATTTCGATGACGTCATGCCGGGCGATGTGGCGGCGTGCGAGGTGCGCGGCCTCACATCGTGCGGGCAGTTCGTGCAGCTGGAGAGAAGGAATGCGGCCAACCTCTTCTACGACCTGAGGTCAGTCAGTCCGCACACAGACAGACACATCCACCAACAAAAAGGGGCGGCATCGTTTGTGTGAGTGTGTGTTGCAGGCAGCAGAAGGTCCGCGAGCTGCCAAGCTTGGAGGAGGCACAGCAGAGACGATCACAACCTGACGACAGTAAGCCAGCTGCTCCCCACCGACTTCGCAGACAAGCACACCATCTCTCTCTCTCTGTCTGTTTTATCAGGTTCGCATCGCGAGCTCTCCCAGCTGCTGCTGGGCCGCAAGATGATGGGCGACCGGCCGCAGACGCCCCCCAACCCCAAAGTGCGGAAGCTGCTGCACCCAGCCATCGAGAAGCTTCCCAAACAGACCAGGGAGAAGCGGTCGGGGAGTGCGCCACAGCCGTACCTGGGGCAGCGTGTGTACAAGGCAGGCAAGAGAGGGGCGTTCAAGATCCGCACGAGGCTGCCGAGGAAGACTCACGATGATGATGGGAGGAACAAATTCTGATCGACGCATGACAGGGTCAGGGAGGGTAGCGGAAAGAAGGCACGCTGAAGAAGGGCACCTACAGGATCAGACGTGTGTGCGTGAAGAGCACACTTGGTTTGATCCGTTGCGTGGCCTCCCTCAGTGTTTCTTCTCGTTGCCCGTGTGTCAGTGACTGACATGTGTATAATTGGGTTGATGCTTCGAGCTGGTCGAGCCCAGACGTCGTGTGTACTGACTGATACTTAATCATTGATACCTCCACTTGATCCGTCGCTCTTATGCACCAAAACTGCCTGCGTAAATGACGCGTCACTTATCTCTGTGTGCCTATCGGTTCCTCGGCTGTGCCCTATCCATTCATCCCACTATAGCTATCCATGCATCAGAGCTTCACCCACCCTGGCACCACAGCTCGCCTATCAGCACGCACTGTATCTCCCATTCGCTGCCATACGTACCACACCTAACTGTCTGAAGATGAGATTAAGGGGGCGATTTCGTTCTTGTGTGCAGCCAATTTGCCCCAAGTGAGGACTGCGTGGGTCAACTTCTCGTACGTCCATTCACGTCATCGGCTGTTCAGCACTCGCAGCGGCGACACGCTGGGTGGGGCCATGCGCTCGGCCACCTGAACGCACACATACGCCATTCGTACAAACGAACAACGGATACGTGTACCTATCAGTCAGCGGTCCACTGGGCGGCGACCTGCTCAGGCAGAGAGGCGTCCAAGGTCTCTCTCTAGTGTCCGTGTGCCTGTTTGTATGTGCCTGCCTGGGGACGTACACACCTGATGAGTGGTCCGTTCGAAGGCCACCTTGAGCATCGCCCGGCAGACGGCCGGGATGCCGGAGCCTGATGCCAATGATCACATCAGTCAGTGTTTTGCGAAACGCGAAGAGGGGTCTGGCTGGCTGGCTGGCTGGCGTGGACCCCGGATCATGAGGCAGCGGAGGGCGGTTCTTCGGCCCGAGGAAGTCCACCGCAGCTTAACCATTCAACAGATTCTGCCTACCAATCGACTGACACCCACAACACCACACCGCACACGGATGGGCTGACTGCACCTGCATGCCATACCTCTCTCGGGTGGTGTCCCTGATCCCGTGTGCGCTTGTTTGGACGACCACCGGCCGACAGATCCCCTTGAATACGTCCACTTGACGATCAGCCAGACTCTTTCAAGTCGCCACCAAACAGCTGCACCACAAAACAGAGAGAGAGCAGTCATGAACAGCCGGCGTATAGCGTTCTTCTTTTTTCCTTACAGCTTTAGAAGCCAAAGCTGCTGCTGACGGCCTCCGATATGACTAGAGTGTCCTCCGAGGACTCAAACTTCACGCTGATGGGCCCAGGCTTAACGCCGTGCAGGTGCTGCTACAGTCAAGCTACAGCCGACTCTACAGACGTGCCAGCAGTGTCTGTAGAGTGCGAGCTCAAGCCCGTTCCATGAACTCGCCTTCCTGTCCTTCTTTCCCCAGTTTCTCTCACTTGTAGGCTTTCCGGTGACACAGAGGATGCATCCATTCAAAGAAACGAGAAAACGAATTTGCCAGATTCGAGAAGGACACAGATTCGATCCTCACTCGATCAGAGTGGAATTTCGATGCCTTCACTCCCTTTTCTTCTTTTTGTGAGTAGCTCTACGGGCTCAGGGTAGCAGGTGTGGGCCAAGGGCATTCCACAAGACAATTTTCCATCTGCGAGCTCCCGAAGGAGCTCGCAGGAAAGTGCGGAGAATCTCTTCGGGGAATACTCACGGCCTTCATCGATGGTTGGGATGAGCTCAGAGGAGCGCCAAACTCGTCGAAACCTGTTCCTTCCGAATTGGATCGAGTGAGGGTCGAGTTGCTGCTTTTCTCGAACCTGGCAAATTCGTTTGGCGATTTTATAAAAGGAGTCCTTCATTACTTTGGTCATAGAGCATCCTACTACAAGACAAAGGTGCAAAGAGCCGGGAAGGCGGATATCGGACCTTCGCCTTGAGCTCGCACGCTGTGCGTGCCCCGATTTGCCTGTGAGGCTTTCCCCGTAAGTCCTTATCGGCATTCGAGCGCCTCATCTTACTCCCAGCGCGAATCCAGCGTCGAGCGAGGACTTTCACTCAAGCTGACTTCCCCTCGTGCACGATGGGTGAGTTGCCGCCGGCGTCAAAGGTGTCCGGTCATGAGCTGCGCCTGACCAAGCTGGAGGAGTCACTGTTCGAGCTGCTGCTCAATGTGGTCAAGGACAAGGGCCTTCAGACCACGTTGCGAGTGGCGGGCGGATGGGTGCGGGACAAGCTGGTGGCCGTCTATCATCCACAGCTGCTGAGCGAGACGGACACCGCCTCGCCCGACATCGACCTTGCTATCGAGGGCATGTCGGGGGTGGATTTCGTACAACACGTCAATGAGTGAGCGGACGGAGATACACGCAGACAGGACGGAATGGCGGAGCAGACACAACGAAAATCCATCCATCTAGATGTGCATCCTTCTGTGTGTGTGTGTGTGTGTAGTTGGTTGGTGGTGAAAGGTGAGGCCCCGCACAATGTCGGCGTGATAGCAAGGAACCCCGACAAGTCGAAGCATCTCGAGACCGCGACGGTGAAGCTGATGGGTGTGTCGGTGGACTTTGTCAACCTTCGCACCGACACGTACACGGAGGACTCACGGATACCCACGATCGAGCCTGGCAAGCCAGAAGAAGGTACACACAATCACACAGAAGGGGGGAGAAAGGCATCTTGGTTGTGTGCGTGTGAATGGGGTGGCGTCTTGTGTGTATGCCTGTCTGTCTGTCTGTCTGGGTGGGTCAGATGCGCGTCGTCGTGACTTCACAATCAATGCCCTCTTCTACAACCTGAACGAGAAGAAAGTGGAAGACCTCACCGGTTAGGGAGGCAGACGAGGCACCGACCGACTGCACCAACCAAACATACATCCCGTTTCGTCCTCTTCCGTGTGGTATGCGGTGCCTAGGTCGTGGCATCGAGGACCTGCAAGACCGTGTTCTACAGACGCCGCTGGATCCTTTCCAAACGCTGCTGGAAGACCCTCTGCGTGTACTCAGAGCCATCAGGTGCACAGAGAGACGCCTGCTGCTATCAACACAAGAATAGAGTCACTACGCATGTTTGCGTTGATCTTTCTGTGCAGGTTTGCGTCTCGTTTCGGCCTCCGCATTTCCTCTAAGCTCGAGGAAGCGTGCCGCGACGAGCAAGTGCACCAAGCTCTCAGAAATAAGGTGGCTGACGACTCACCAAGTGCACACACACACACAGACAGCAACACGCGCTTACATAATGCATTCTCTCTCTACGTACATGCAGGTCTCCCGCGAGCGCATAGGTGCCGAGCTGGACAAGATGATGGGTAAGGGCGACCCTCTTTACGCCTGGCAGCTGATCACCTCTTTCCGGCTGGCCTCCATCCTGTTCCGCCTCCCCGAGCTGTTTTATCGCTGCGTGAAGCCTTCCTCGCCCACTGGCGTGGTGTCGGAGGCTGGCAACGCTGTGGTGGTTGACACGCACAGGGTCTTCAGCGATGGCATGCGGACCGTGCAGAACCTGCACAGTATCATAGAACAGTACGCATGGAATGGAAAAGTACTTTAGTGAACGAACGAGGCAGGACTGACACGACGCAGAAAGGGAAAAGTGGCTGTATGTCTTTGTGTCCGTGTGTATGTGGCTATTAGGTTTCATAACAACGGTACGCGGTTGATGGAGCAGTGCGAGGTGGACGAGAAGAGACTGATGGAATATGCGGCATTCCTCGCGCCCTTGGCCGGTCCGAAGACACACACATATACAGACACACACATATACAGACACACAAACAGAAATACTCATACAGAGAAAGAGAGAGACAGGGAGAGGGAGAGGGAGAGGGAGAGGGAGAGAGAGACTCGAAGGCACTCACATCTCCCGAACAGAGTAATCCATGAGGACCGCGTCTGCCTGTGTGTCTGTATCTGTGTGCAGGTTTGCAGTACAAGGGCGAGAAGGGTAAATCCTTGCCCGTCATCCCATACCTCATAGGCGACCAACTCAAGCTGCCAAAACGTGACGCAGACCGGTGAGTCCGCGAGTGAGCAGACACGTGCTTTGTTTCTTTCTTATCTATTTGTTCCTCGCTGTCTGTCTGTCTGTCTGTCTGTCAGTGTCGATCTTATCGTATCGACAGCTTGCAGCTTCCAGCGTCTGGTCGGTGAGTGGGGTAAGCGAGGCATCCCACGCCCTCCCTCAATGGCTGCGGATCGCTCCGACCACGAGGGGGCAGCTCAGCCTCATGCTGATGACGCCACACTCGTAGAGGGTCCCGGTTTGTCTCCATCTGAGCAGCAGTACCGCGTGAATCTTGGCTTGCTACTCAGACGAGCAGGGCAGCTGTGGAAGGTACGTATACACAGCAAGCAACGACCAAGCACACGGCACGGAGGTATACTCATGTGTGTAAATCCTTGTGTTGTATCCCCCATTCGTCCGTAGGCATCCCTGCTGGTGGCGATGGCCGACGCTGTCCGTAGAGTGCCAGCCTCCTCATCCCACGCTACGTGCGACTCTCCCTCCCCGCCCGTCACAACGGGCGCCCCTTCATCTGACGTGCCATCTGTGCCCCTCAACTCAGCACAAAGAGATCTCGTATCGGCTTACAAGGCCGTCTATGAGTCTGTCGAGCAGTTCGGTCTCGTCGGTGTGTGGAAGCAGGCCCCGCTTCTCAACGGCAAGGCGGTCAAGGGGCTGCTGCCTCGTCTGCGAAAGGACAGTGAGTTCAAGGCGATTATGGACAAGCAGATGGAATGGGTGCTAAGCCATCCGAGTGGCACAATCAACGAGTGCACAGGATTCATTCACCAAGAATGGGATAATTTCTCTGGGCTGTCTGAGCGCGTGAGCGCGCGTGAGTGAGTGAGTGAGTGTGTGTTGGTGAGCGGTTGATTGTAAAATGCATGCATGGGGGCCCACGTGTACAGACAGATGTGAGATGAGAGGACGGAGGAGGCTTGTATAGTGTGTGTCTTACATGTCTGTGCAGTTGCTGTCAATGCTTGACTTGTGAATGCACTGACAGTCATTGACACAGTGGCTAATTCGACAACAAATGAATTCGATCCTGCCCCAGGGCGCGCCCCCCCCCCCAAAAAAAACAACAAAACAAAACGTTAAACCTTCAGATCTTCGGACGACTTCTTCACAAACCAGACCAGTGTGATGTGCGTTTCCGGCATCCGGATCCCAAAGCTCAAACGACACTGTGAAGCTCAAACGACACCGTGACATTGCTGGCGACCGCTTGTTCCATGTCGTCTTTGAGAGGAGCTCCCGCGACTCAGCAGCCCCCTCCATCAGCCGGCGATGAATGTGGAAACATACTCATCACCCTTTCGACGTCCAATCTCTCATCCCAATGGAGCGACCGCGAGAGCCAGACTGAGAAGCCGACCCAAGAGGAGAAGCTTGAAACGCCCGGCTCTATGCTGCAACTGAAGTGCGAAGCACCATGTCCACCAGCAGTTGGAGCAGGTGACCATCCGGCCCCATTGCGGCCTTCTCACTCACATTCCAGCCGGTATGATCTCTCTCTGTCTCGGCGCTCATGTGTGTCTGCAGGCGTACAACCTCGGTTGTGTGAAGCCCTCCCCATCCTCGACTCCCACATACGCCCTCGTTTGCAGCTGTGCACCACAGATGCGGTTGTTGACGGTAAGACGAGCGACGGCTTCTGCGACGGTCTGCTGGCTAACACCCAGGAAGTGAACAGCAGCCAGAGAGGCCTGTGCCGCCCGGACACTAAACGAGTGTCTCTCGTTAGCAGAGCTGCTGTGACAACGCGCAGTGCAGTCAACGACGGTTTGAAGGAAGACGAAGAAAGAGACGCCGGGCCAGACGACTCATGTGCTCGAGAGTTGCGACCTGAGGAGCGTGAAATAGCTAAATTGGTGGCTGAGTTCAGGTAGCCAATGACTTGCTATACCGACACAAGTGAGTGCCCTTTTCTGACCTGGACTCTTCAGGAAGACAGCAGGCTACGATGCTGCGTATGAAGAGGCAAGCGATCAAAGTAAAAAACTCACGCGGAACACTGCTGTTGTTGCTTCGTTATTTGTAGTTTGCGACGACATTAGAGTACAGCCCAGTGCATGGCCCCGACGGCAGTAGAAGAGACATGCTTTGTGGCGCAAGCTTTGCGGCAGAACCGATGCGAAAGACGGCCAGGCGAGTGTGTAAGGTGATATTTGTGCAGTTGGCGGCCGCGTTTCTTATCACCATCGTTCTCGTCGGCTTCAGTTTGCTGTATGTCGACTCGTGTGAGTCACGCGTCTTCGGGCCCATCTTTGATGGCATCCGTCGCGTGGGGTTCTCTCTCGTCTGGATGCTGCTCTTGGTGCACGCTACTGATGGATGCGACTCACAACGGATGATTCTGCGGCTGAAAAGAGAATGGATCGTCTTTGTTCCAACATTGGCGCTCCACATTGTAGTCACTGTTCAGCATCAGCGCTCCCTCTCCGGGACCCGATGGGAGCGACGGGTTGTCGTTTTTCTGCTTTGGCTCTCCAGCTATGCAGGTAGAGACACACAGGACGCACACCCGTCGAATCTCCCTGGCTTGTCCTTCATCTCTGCACTGCTCAGCGCAAAGGCGGGTGTCCTGCAACACGATTGTCTTTTTCTTTTTGTGCAGCCACATATATTTACTTCCGTCGGGCAGCTGGGCAGCTGGGCATCAGGGCCAAGTGCGAGTTCGCATTGAAGGCCACGCTCCCCATCGCTACCACTTTCACTATGGCTATCATTTGGGTGGCTGTGCTCTCGCCCCGCTATGCTGTCTCGGATACTAAGAGTGGGAAACTCTACATAGCTTTCATCTTCCTCGCCGCAAGCTTACCTGCTGTCGCGCTTTCTTGCAAAGTCGTACGATCAATGAAGGCAAGTCGCAGCGTCCTTACGCACGGAAGAAGTTTAAGCTCTATACACTTCCTTCTGAATGATGGTGCATTGCATTCTATGTGCGCTTAGGAGGGCCTCCCTACATGCAACCCTTTACTGATAACAGCGCCCGTCATGGCGTATGTGCTATTCCCCAGGTGACTAATTTGGGCATACATTGATGTCTACCTTGATGCATTTGGGGCGGCTCATATGTATCGATCCTCGGCTGTTCACCAGGATGTTACAGGCAGAGGCGATAAATCTGACCGACAAACTCTTGTACAGTCTTTTGATCTCCATGTACGCACACGATATGTCTCAAGATATCCATGTCTTCATGGCTGTGCTGTCTTATTTAGATTTGATCTGGTGGCAGACATCCTGGCCCCCTATTCAATCCTACTGTACCTGCGGACCGAGAGATTCCTAAAAGGCTGGAGTTGCACACGGAAACGCCTCCTCACAGCTCATGACGTGACTGATACCTCGGTGACCGTGGCGGCGGCCAGTGAGGAGGCGATCGCGGGCCCATCAGCTGCTGAAAAGGATGCTGCAAGCAGCCCAATGAGTCATCAAAGTCACTCATTGCTGTCAGCAGCCCTCTCTTTCATCAGCACGGAGCCTAGAGGGATGAAGACATCTCAAGGGCTGCAGCTGGCTTTAGCGAGGCTCGAGGTCACACCACGGTATATCTGCAGTCAGTCTGCATTCATATGTAGTCGAATGAATTGATCCTCTGGGCGCCTCTCTCTCTCTCTCTCTCTCTTTCTGTCTGTCTGTCTGTCTGTCTGTCGGTGTCTCCGTCCTTTCGTCCGCATTTATCTGTCTCTCTGTCCGTCGTCGTTCATCCCTCTCTCCCTCCCTCCCTCCCTCCCTCCATTCATCGTCAGCTACCTGTAAAGCTATGGCTTTTGCCAGCTTGTACTTTCATTCTGTTATCCACTCTATTTCTTTTCCTTCTCTCCCAGGCGTTCTCTGGCCGAACAGGTGCACATTTGGTCTCTGACCGAGATGGTGGCGATGCTTTACACCAACGTAGGGGTCCTGGGCGCCTCTGTCCGCCGCAAAGGTATATCACCTCTTCACTTCCTCGAAGGCCTTGCCACCATTTTTGTGCTGATCCTCATTGAATGCACATTCGAGGCATTGGTAGGTATGCATATCGACTGCTTCTATCATTTGAATGATTGTGTTGGTTATCAGGTCTTTTCTGGATGGCGAGGTACAATTTGCCGGTTCTGATCAGCGTGTGCGAAGATGGCGTCACTCGTCGGCGAATCATAGCCTGTCTCGCTTCCGCTATATTCAGGTAGGACAAACAGCCGCGCGTTTACACGTCCAGAAACGAAATCTCTTTCCGTATCGCTGCATTTGCAGTGTGTTTCTATGGCTGGGCTTCCTGCACGTGTCTCTGTATCATGCACTACGAATCGATGGATGGCGCGAAGCCACTCCGACGACCGTGTGCCCCTATTTTTCATATCTACCCCTTTAACACGGGGTGAAATTGGTTGGGCAACATGGTATCAGTGCGCCTACAGTGGAGCCGTTCCTTAGTGAAGTCTGAGACATGTCTAGGCTCTGTTCGAGTGAGTCTAATGTGAGCCTATGATTACAGTAAGTGTTGTACACAAGTGGCGCGCGAGGTCTCGTAGGGCATACGCAGGGATGGATGGACAGACGCATGGATGAAGTCTGTACCTTACTGCGCGTATGCGTCACGTCGATCCGGCCCCAGGTGCGGCCCCGCACACACTGGCAATCGCTCCCTTCAGGTCCGTCGAATCAATGGAGCACACGTGGTACAGCCGTCAGCCTATGCGGCAGACCAAGTGGCTCGAGCTCTTCTATCCTCACACGCTCACCCCTCTCCGACCACTGAACATCGCAGACGCACAGCGGCCCCGGCTCACCTTCAGCACCTACCAGGATGCCCACCCACAGCCGTATGCAGTGGAGGCATGGCAGACAGACGACGCGCCAGAGAACGACCCCACCGGCCGCCTCGATGTGCTGCAGACCAATTCGCGGCTGACCCCTGTGTCAGCGACACATTACAACGGCACGCAGCGGTTCATGGACCGATGTGAGCGGCATAGGAAGGTCCGTGAGAAACGAGAGGCGGAAGAGGCGATGAGGAAGCAGGCAGAGGAGAAAAAGAGGGAGCAGGAGCGAAGGGCGAGGCACACCATCATGGCAAGCCCTCAGGAAGCTCGGAGGACGGCCAAGCGGGGGGTGCGGATGCTGGGCACTCAGGAGTCATTCGTTGACGGCCCACCGGCCACAGGTGATGCTGCCAGCAGGAGCAAGTCTGTGGTATCCCCTGCTGCTGCAGCCGAGAGCATCCCCAAGTCCCCAGTGGCAGCATCAGAGGCAACAACAGCTGCTCCCCCACCCCCAGCAGCGGCAGCAGCCCCACCAGAAAAGGAGGAGACATGGAGTGACTACAATGCATTGTCTGACGACGAGTGTGTCAGGGAGGGCTTCATTGACGACGCTGAGCTCCATCGGGTCATATGTGAAGGCGACGACCGCCTTGAAGGGGCAGAGCTCAGCTACCACAGGTGGTTGGACCCTGCTGTATTTGAAGACATCGCTGCTTCTCAGACGGGCCTCACGCGGTTTGGGGCGGTGCAGTGCCAGATCAGCGACAATGCTGTGCAGCAGATCGTGACCAGCTGCCCTGGGTATGAAAGGCCGACCGGCGAGAGACGGATGGGAGGGCATCGGGTGGCGTGTGTGTGTGTCACAGCTTGACGTCTTTGGACCTGTCGGATTGCAGTCATCTGAAAGACATCGGGCCAATACACACGCTCACAGTCAGACACACTGACACGAGACACACTGAGACGAAGGAACGGCAGAAATAGCAGAGCTGTGTCTCTTTGTCTGTCATGTATGCAGCAATTGCGTGAGCTGAAGTTGTCACGATGTGCGAGTGCCGTCACTGACGCACGGTGGGCTGGTGGCTACCCACCTCACCTACCTACCCGCCCTTTGTGTATATATATGTGGGTGTGCCCTGCCCATCACAGAGTGGGTGCATTGTCAGCGTGTCCCCATCTGAGGGTGCTGGACCTCTCATACTGCCCACAGTTCACGGACAAAGGTATATACATGCATCTTACATAGACCCCCCCTCCCCGTTCTCCTCTCTCTCTTGATCAATGTCCGTGTGATTAGGTTTGCTGTCCATGTCCGAGGGCGTCAAGAGTTTGGTGTGGCTGAACCTCAGCGCATGCAAAATCGGAGACGAGGTGAGGAAAGGGCGGCGTACACACAGCTACGTCGCGTGTCTCATGTGGCGGGTGTATGTATGTCCGTTTTTTTGTCAGGGTTTGGGGTCGTTGCTGAGTGGTAATCCGATGCTGGAGGTGCTGCGGCTGTCGATGTTGTGTGGAAACGAGTGTCTCACCGATGAGGGACTCTCACACGGACTAAGATGGACCAAACGACTCAAAGAGGCATGCACGCGCACAACACAAGACACACGCAACCAGAGACACGCACACACAGACAGAGAGAAAGGGAGAGCAACTCACACACACGGAGACACACACATTCCTCTCTCGGTGTGCGTATGCAGGCGGACCTCTCTGGGACTCGACAGGTGGGGAGCCGTTCTCTGGCGGCCATTTGCCGTTATTGCAAAGAGCTCCAGTTGCTGTCGCTCGCCGGCTGTGTGCGCATCGGCGACCAAGACATGATCAGTCTCAGCCAATCCAGGGGAGTCGCAAACCTCAGGCACATCGGTAGGTGACCTGCGTGGATTCCTATCGAAAGAGAAAAGGGCCCTCTCATTGTGTGTGTCTCCGGGTGTTTATGCGTAAGATCTGTGTGGGTGTGAGGATTTGTCCGCTGAGGGCGTGGGGCGGTTCCTGCGGGCGGGGGAGAATCTGAGGTGTGTTAACCTCAACATGATCCCAGCCATCACCGAGGACGCTATCGAGGCCATGCAGGTAATACGTAAGGCTGAAATGATGCGATTGTTTTCCTTTTAGAGAGAAAAGGCAAAATGTCGTTCCTTCACATGATGTGTGATTATCTTGTCTTTTCAGTGTGATGTGGACAACGAGAGTTTGATGTGGGTGTACAGCCGCAGCAAGATGACGGACGCCAAGCACAGCGGCCTCAAGCTGCCCAACGCCCCACCCCCTAAGGAGAAGAAGGGCGGCAAGGGGAAAAAGGGCAAGGGCGGGGGCAAGAAGGGCGGCAAGAAGAAGAAATAGCTGATACAGACAAAGAGCCATCCACACCACATATCTTGGCGGACAGGACAAGGCGGAAGGTGTGTGTGTGGGGGGGGGATGCATGTGTTGACGGGCTAACCATTTGTTGTCGACCATTGTAATTAATTGTCTCATGTATGTACTATCAATGTCTCGTGTGTATACACACACTTGTCGGCCCTTCGTGGAGATCTCTGAGACCGCTTCTGGCAGCCAACCCAAGTGGTCTTCACTTGGTTGTTCACCAAGCGAACCACACTCGAGCGGGCCGCTGGAAGCGGTCACAGGGACACGCACCGACGATCCACACCCGCACATCAGCCATACATGCATCTGCCCTTTTCCGCTTTCTTGGCCCCTCTGTGTAGGCCTCTCACCTGTCTGTCATATACCTTTCCGTTGTCGGCTTTTGCCGCAGCAGCAACCGGCAGCAGAGAAGCACAAGGCAGAGAGGAAAGACGCGCAGACAGCATCAGGCAGCGACACGACATATTTTGTTCCATAAAGCCTCATTGATCAACGACATCCACACAGAGATACAAGAGCGCCAAAACTGTCTGTCTGTCTTCATTGGCAAAACTCCTACCAATCTACCTGTCTGTCTGCCGTCTGTACGATTGAGCCCCCAGCTCAGGTCAAGTCATCAGGTCAGCCAAAAAGACAGAAAAAAGACACACACCAGACACGCCACACACAAGACACCAACACAACACAACACAACACAGCACGCCGCAAAAATAGGACGTGGTGGATAAAACACCCCCACAATTGAACCCATGAACCAACCCATCAGTCGGTCTTTGTCCGTCCATTCAGGCACTCTCCGACCGTCCGACCTCTCTCCCTCCTCCTCTGCCGTTCATCTCCCCACCTGCGTCAGCACCCCCACCCTCTGCATCCCCTGCATCGTCTGCCTCATCCATCGAGTACTCCAGCCGTATGGGTATCTCCTCGTTCACACCACCACCACCACCACCAGGCCTCTCAGGTGACGATATCGCGTCGATGGATATAGAAGACGACCGCCGCCTGTACAGTGGCGGCGCCCAGGGGGACCCGTCCTCGCTCCAAGTGATGCTCGGAGAGCTGACAAACAGACGCACACACATAGCATACGATGGATAGGATAATATGTGCTGATCAACACACACAGCACGACACGACACACGTATTGATTGATTCGTTTGCATACTGTGAGATGGCCGATAGGAGTTCGGGTTTGGCAGGGAATGAGGGGATCCGCTGCACTGTGACACCGTGGTGGGGGGAGGCCTCGGGCGACGCCTGTCCACCAGGAGCCAGCAGGGGGCTGTCCAATCCAGACAGGGGCTCCTCGTGACCTGCACACACCCATACACCCTCATGGGCATCTCTCTCTGTCTGTCTGTCTGTCTGTCTGTTTGTTTTCCTGACACGCACCGAATATCTGTTTTCGTTCCCAGACGAAGATGCATACGGCGAAGGTGATGTAAGCGTACGAGAAGATGGCAGCAGCCTGATCGTACCCCAGGTACTCTGTGAGTATGCCACTCAGGAGGGGTGCCACACCCTCACCCAACGACAGGAACATCACCACGACGGCTATCGTCTGCACACAACACTCACACATCCACACACCCTTTCAGCTAGGGAGAAGGAGTCGGGTATTTGCTGACCATTTCCTTTGCCTCCTCTCCCATGTCTTCGACATGCTGCTGCATCCACGGCACGGCTGGGACGAACGACATGCCGTTGCCGATGGCCGCGAGTGTCTGGCCGACCAGCTGCAGAACCCACGCCGCCACACTGTGATCTTTTACAATCCCGGGGCGATACAGAAAGGGAGACGGGCCTGACAAGAGGCACACACGCACACATAGAGTGGAAGGAGAGAGAGGGTATATTGCGTTACCCCCTTTCCCCGAAACGTATCCAGCTTACCTACCTAGCATTTGGTAGGCCACGAAGGCAATGACGAATCCCCATGCCGTCAGGCTGGGGTACAAGCCGTATGTGGATGCGACTCTTCCCGTGGCGACGGATGCCAGCATGTACACGAAGGATGTGAGAGCCATGACGATGCCCACGACCCAGTCGGAGAGGGGACCGAAGAACGAGTGCAGATGAGGAGCCAGCACGGGGTCATAGAAGGTATACGTCTGCCACCCACGTAAGGTACGCACACAGAGACGTCAAGAGAACGGGCGGCCGTGGGCTCTCTCTCTCTCTCTCTCTCCGTGTGTGTGTTGGG